GAAAAAAAATATTATATGGAATTGAACGAAAATGAAAATTTGCTTGATAATTCAACTACGCTTGTTGGAGAACAATAAAAACACTACACTCAACAAGCCACCAATAAAACTCAACTGCCTAACCTATAACCAAAGTCTCCTTTTAATTTGTTTTTTTAAAAAAGCGCTTGACAAACTTGCCCCGCATGCCGAAGTTGCCCCGATCTCCCCTACATATACACATATGAAACATATCAGACAAGGAGATGCAAATCACTGTCAAACAAGTATCTATTGTATTTAGATATGTTGAACAAGTAAATTAAAGAAGTAACAGGAGATTCGAGGAAACTCGGCATATTTCAAATCAGAACACGAGTCACGGATTATACAGGTATTTGGTACACAGTGAAAACTCGATTATTTGAAACAGATTTTAAAAAATCTTGAATTGGTATCAAATTAATAATTGCTAAGACTTACCTAATAACAGTTTTTATATCTCAATGTATTAAAAATGAAGCAAATCTTCATTTGTTTACATTCCATAAAACTCATAAACACTTAATATAGAAAAACAAATGCATTGTGTAAATATATAAAATGTAATGGACTGAATATATACTTTTAATTGCAGAAAATGATACTTTCATTCACAATACACAGCAATACTTCATAGTTTGTTCATTCTTCCATACTCTATGACATATCTAAATGTGTTATTTTCCTTTCTTCCCTTCTTCCTTTCTTTCATCAGTAATTAAGCATTACAATGTAAAATAACAGAACATATTATTTAAATTATTCTTTATTTCACTAGAATATAAACTTTCTTCTAACAAAAATTATATTTATTAATAATAGAAGAAAACAAATATATTAATCATATTTAAAATAGATTTCTTTTGTGGACTAATTGAATAATAATAGTCATTACGTTTAATGAGATATTATAAACAACTAAACTGGCCAAATTGCCAAAGCATTTATGGCCAGAAATAGCCTACCGCTCCAGGAGACCTGGAATTAAATCCTGGCGAGCAAACCCTGTTTGATGGGCTATGTCTAGAGTAACCATCCTTCATCACCCATGATGGGCCCAGAAAATTTACTGCATTGATATAACTATCCATGAATATAAAATATATTTATTAAGTATACAGAAACTATAATGAATCCAATATACAGTTACAGTGAATAAAATAATTGTATTCCTTCTATTAAATAATGATTCAACAAATCCACTAACATGAATCAATTGAGCCAAGTGAATGAAAAATGTTTTTTTAACTTATTTTATCCCAGCTAAAATAAGGTTAATTGTTAATTAAAATCAATCATTTACTTAAATATAGATGGTTCTTTTATATATTTATATAAATAATTGAAGATTTTGAAAAACAAAAAAATATTCTGTTGTTTAAATTTTCTTTTGCAGAATATAAATTAGTAACTCACCTGAAAATCACCAAAAACTACTCAAAAATACATATTTAAAAACAAATATTTTATTTTTATATTACAATGTGTTATAATGTTATCCCTGCACAGTTGATTGTTGTGTTGAATTTGGTTGATTGTTGGGATCATTTTGGGAAGATCCAGCTCCCTGAGAAGGGGGTCTACAAAAATATAAGATTTTTATTGTTCTCGCTGTAAAATACTATTAAACTAATTTAATGTAATAAATGTCTATTAAATTAATTCATTAAAATGATAAAGAAAACACTTAATAAAATTAATTATTTTTTGTTTTTTCTTAAATATTTGTAATAAAGAATACTTACTTTAAATTAATACAATATTTGAAATATTTAATGAATTAATTTAATTTTAATGAAACTGTGATATAACTATCTTTTCTTTGCATAATAAAAATCATATTTTCTGGTGAATAAGTTGAATTAAAACAAAACTTTTTAAAGAACTTTTCGTAATGTACCAGCCGATCAAATAGAAAAGTTTAATGGCGAGGAGTCGACTGGATGGTATCGGCAAGAAATTAAATGTTATCCTGTGAGTCTATATTAATAGATATTCAAGATTTAGATCTTTCTCACGCTGTGTAAGGAGAGTAATAATAGCTTACATGTCACCAAGTCTACTTCTCACAAGTAAACTTTTTGTTTGATCACTTAGTACATAAGTATTTCTCTTCCTAATAGTTTAATCATTATTAATAAATTTACATAAAAAAATACAATAGTACATACTGTTTTGAATAACTTATAGTTTAATCTGTAGGTAGCACTTTTCGGAAGGTAGAAAAACATCAAAAGGCAAGTATTACACCAGAAAATATAATATGTTTTCAAAAAAATAGAAAAATTAATGTAAATTTGTTTCTTATACAAGTTATTAAAAAAATTTTCAGAATAAATTTTAAATATGTATTTTTATTCAAACAAACAAACAATAAAAATGAATGATATGAGAGAATCTATCTTGCCTTGATGACTTTTTAACAAGACAAAATGCACAGCTCACTTAAGAGATCACTTTCATTACTTATAAAAATGTTTTAGTTACAACACCCATCATCGGTTCCTTTACTATCAAAGTAATATGCTCATAAACTAACTTAAGAAAATATATTGCTCTTCTCTTCAATCAATTTATTAAACAACCTTGGTTTTATGTAAGCTACCTTTTCCACTGTAGACAGAATCATCACAAAGCAAACAAACCGTTCGAGATATGAGACATGTTGTTTTTTAAAGTGACTGAAAAAAGATGCAATATACAGTATATATATTTAAAAAAGACATATACAGTCGTGGAAAATGTAGGAGTTTAAACTATCAAAAATTATTTTCCAATAATATGAATAATTTTTTGAGATAAGGTATAGATTTTGATAATACATGGTATCCTAAAAGGTAGTTTACAACATCAAACTTTTTATATTGTGGCTTTGAATTGACATACGAACATAAACTACGATACACCAAATCAAAAAGTTTGTGTTGGTTATGACAGTGCTCAATATGCGGTTCCATAATATTAAAGTTGTAAACTATCTTTTGTGACACCCCGAAATAATTTTTGATATTCCCGATTACTAATATCAAGAACCTGTAGATTTAATAGAGAAATTTATTAATTAACTATTACATAAAATATCATTAATAACTTTCCTAAACTATATAAATATATGCGATGTAATTTTGTAAAACTTTACAGGTAATTGCTTGACAGATTCTTTCTTGATATCTTTTCATCAAAACTGTATTTTCTTCAAGAACTCAATATACAGAATAAACAAAAACAATTACTAATGTTAAGTAAAGTTTGAGGTATGGCTAGGTTCAAATCGGGATTGACTTAGCAATTTTTTTGGGTGGGTTGGCCCAAATATATTGGACCCTGCCCAGTGGTGCCCACAGATTATCAAAGAGGGGACACAAACTATAAAAAAAGGGCATCGTACATTATGCAAGGAGTTTCAAACTCTGAATCAATGTCAGATCAGTGCTCCTAAAAGGTGGTGCTGGTTACACTGAGGCTAACTTGGTATCGAAAACAAGAAATGTAGTTTGGTTAATGTACAAAGTTGCATGGGACAATGGACAAATATTGTTCATGTTTCTTTTATAGTTGCAAAATAGGCTTGCTAGAACTCAGGAATTTACTATTTGATGCTCTTTTTGAAATTAGGAAAAGGGCAACCCAGATGAAAAGGGGAAGCACGTACTCCATACCCCTCAATGTATGGGTGCCCAAACACCTATTCCTCACAATTCATTCGTCCCACATGAGCCTTACCAAATCTGTGATTAGTATGAAAAAACCTCATTTTCCACAGTACAGAGAAAGGGTTAAATTTAAACAATTCTATCAGATATATCTATAATTTAACATCAAACTAGACAATGTACTTAATCTACTGAATTAAACAATGAATTAACAATAAGCAAGGATGGAAAAATGCTAATATTTTCAATTTACTTAACAGGATATCCTCAGGNAAAATGCGGCCAAAGTAATTCCAACGACGATGTGCAACTTCCGTAAAAGTGATACCGTATAATTCGTGAGCATTTTTATTATTTTTTTCATTTCTTAATGTTTCAAAATTCCGAGTCCTTGGAAGGTCATTTTTTGACCGATTGCCATACTTTCCTTCTATTATGTATGACAGCCAGAAAAGTAAAAAAAAAATGCTATGGACATAGCATTTTCGTCAGAGAAAAGTGGCAGGAGCTCTTAATAAAGTGAGGAAAATCAGCCATTTGATAATTGATTCAGCGCATCAAGGTGACAGAATTATTAATTAAAATACGTTTCTGAATTAACGTCACGCAATTATTAAGCACGTTAAGGCTCTGTACACACTAGGCGTTTTCAACGAGCGTTTAGCGGAGCGTGCGCACTGGCTCGGTTTGGAAATGGATGTGGAAGTGATTGCTTGTGTGTGGCTCCTCTATCGTCGCTATAAAAGACGACGGCGGCCCTGTACACACTAGGCGTTTGACGAGCGTTTAGCGGAGCGTGCGCACTGGCTCGGTTTGGAAATGGATGTGGAAGTGATTGCTTGTGTGTGGCTCCTCTATCGTCGCTATAAAAGACGACGGCGGCCCTGTACACACTAGGCGTTTGACGAGCGTTTAGCGGAGCGTGCGCACTGGCTCGGTTTGGAAATGGATGTGGAAGTGATTGCTTGTGTGTGGCTCCTCTATCGTCGCTATAAAAGACGACGGCGG